TATTTGTTTGTAAAAAGTATTTAAATCGAACCCCCCACAACTTCCACAGTCCCTAAAAAAGCCTCATTGACCCCCTGCATGCTAAGATGAGATCAAGATGTTTTTTCGTTTTTTAAGCTAAGCCTAACTTTTGTCCAGCCTCTCTACTGCCCTTCAGTTTTTGAAATATATATAACGCGAAAATATACAACAGGAGACTTGAGCTGGAAAACAAATTTAATGGATTTTTAATATATTAACAGTGCTCCACTGCTCCCTCCTTCTTAATCTTGTTTGAAAGGGTGATAGAAATAGCCCAAGCAGCAGTGCAAAAGTGTATAAGTATTAAGCAGATACTTATCTACGCTGCGTCCATTCGTTTTTTTTTTTTTTTTTTAGCTGTGAGAGAACTTCTATATAGAGCATGCATCCTAATGGGGTATGGCTATAAATTTATCGTGTAATGCATGTAATCTTTTTCGGTAATATAATCGCAACGTGATTAACTTATAACCTTAATATGGATAAAAAAATAACAATTGAATGATTGTGGGACAAATTTTTTAAAAATGAAACACGTGGCTTTTGTAGCAACCGATGACCAGGAACCCAATAAATAATTGTATAAGCTTACAAATGTTTAAATACCGTTGATCTGAAAAAAGATTTATAAAATATTAAAATTTATAAGATGTCACTTAGTATCTAACAAAATCAAAAGAATTTCTTTTAAAATTAGTTGTTCTAACAGACTTCTTTTGCTTTCTGGGTCTGTTAACATCCACTAACCAACAACCCACGCTTTGCTCGGGTCACAAATATTAGTGGACGATACAGGCCCCTTACTTTTGTCCCAAACATAAGCTATCACCATACTCACCACTGAAGCTAATTGTTATTTGATGACTAATGAACCACGAATTTTTGGTCATAGTAGTAAGAAAAATAGTATATATCAAACGGGACGTCGATAATCCGCTCCGGTGGCTTACCCCCTCGGCTTCGCCTCGAGGGGCAACTTCGATACTGGGAGCGGATCATCGAGTATCGTCCCTTATAATGTAATGTGATATTTCTCCACACTTCTTGAACCCCTTTTTTTGCTCTACGTAGATATATTTTTATCATTTCAGATATTGTAACAGTTTTTTAATTTTTCGAAAGAATAGTAAGCCCTAATCTTAAGAACAATATATGATACATATTTATGTATTTTTATAGCATGTGGTATTTTGGATCCTTATTCGTGTAACATTTTTCTGCATTTAGGATAAAAAATTTTAAAATGTCTATTTGGTTGTTACAGTCACAAAAGTTAAGATTCCGCAGAATATTTTCATTTTCTCAAAAAAATGCTTTTTCTGTCTCTCATACAGTATAGGCGAGAAACAAAATTTTCTGCTTCGTGTAGAGTCTTCAGAGCCATTTTTTTCAGCGAAAAGATACTTTTCAATGCACACTATTTTACCTCATATGTTTTCACTATGATTGAAGAGCTTAATATAATAGCCATGCTGAAGTTATCATAGCTTGTTCTACACGTTCCAGTGCACTTATATACAGTGTTAACTTATGTGCTTAAGCATTATTCTATATCGTGCAATAAGTTTTGTGGGCTTTTCAGAGCTCTTACAGTACAGTTAGTGTAAGTATTCCATACAGTTCGTTTGAATAATGTGACCAACATATATCAACCAAATTATTGTTAATGTGGGACATCTTTCGTTAAAGACCAAAAAATGAGGGTATAAAAGAATTTCAGATTTTACAGTACACGGTGAGCTCCAAACATTTTGTAAAAGAAGCTCTTTCTAGTCACATCCATGCAAATGGATGCAACTCATTGTTTGACAAATTGAAATAAAACATAAATGAGATAACAGTTATAAGCTTGCTAATGCAGAACCATTGAAAGTTTACTAAAAAAGTTTTAAAAATATCTTGGCATAGTAATACTTTAAACAAGCTGTTTGATCCCCGTCCGGACCACTGTTTTGGCCGGTATTGGAATTGCCCGGTCTCACCAACCAATCGCCCGGCCTGCATTTGGAGAGGTCTCTAGCGGGAGCAGGGTGTGTGGCGCCCTCCGAGCGGTGGGCGCGTCTGGAGTCAGTCGTCTTAGAAAATTTAACACTGCATGACGGCATCACCATTTTTTCTTCTTCTACGTCTCGTCTCGTCTACACAGTGTTCTTTCACTTATTACTCTACTTGTACCGAATTGAATAAACCGACTTTAGAAAAGACACAAGGGCGAGTGAAGTTGATTTATCCGCCCAACACAAGCAGCGTACAAACAAAGTAAAAACTGAAAAATCTTTGCATTTAGACTTATAACCAAAAATTTTGTGACCAAGGATGGAAAACTCAGAAAATTTAAAAGATGCTTTGTCTCTTAAACAACAATCTATTCATATATAACTATAAGGAAGTGAATATAAAAATGTACAAACACGATCATTAAGTTAGTTTTAAGAAAATTAACACTTTTTGTTAAATACTGAATGTTTAGAAGCATAAAAATAATAGTGAATAAAAAAATATAAATCGTAGAGCGTTCTTAAGCTTGATCAATATTTTGTAACATGAATTTTAAGTCTTTAGCATAGAAACATGGAAAAAGTATACGCTTAAATATTAGGTAATGAGGAAACAAAGTCCACACAATTAAAAAAAATGATGATTTTCGTCGTAGAAAAAAATTTTATGTTATAAAAAAATTAGGATGTTTTTCTAATAAACCCCTGTAACTAGAAATAAAAATCATATCATATCATTAACTAGCAGCCCTCTTCCTCGACTTCACCTAAGATTCACTGAGTGGAGCACTAAAGTAAGTTAACACGTGAATAAGAATATAATGATGTTAAAAAGTACTGTGAGTTCTGTACAACAGAAAATAGTTGTTGGCCCAACAGAGCCCTTGAGTTGCATTTTCTCACATTTCAGTCAAAGAAAAGGTCCATTCATTAAAACTGTAAACATTTAAAACTGTCAAAAATTATATAATGATAAAAATTTTTTTTTTTTCTCAAAACTTTATTACCAGGGAATATATGGACTAAGATCTAATCTCCACATTTTTTACTGCCATGATGAATACAAATACATATTTTACCTTTTTAAAAAGCTGAAAAACTTAAGTGATTGCTGTCAGGGTTATAATACAGAGCTGATCTCTCACTAAATAAATTCTTTGTCGTCGATTTCAAAGCTGCTGTTTAAATCTCCATAAATGTTCTGTATCAGTTTCCTAACGCCTAGAATTAAATACATTAAAAGCATTTGAAGTTTCCCTTCCATTTGCCCTCTTGCGACCGTAGGCATTGTTAAACATTTTGAGACCTAAGGGCTATGTTTTGTCAACTTTTTAAAGTTGTAACATATTTATTTATTAACAAGATAGTTTGACCTTTGAGGGCCCCGAAAAGAACTAGTGAACTAAGCTCCTTCTGGACTGAAGTTTCTAGCAAAACGTGACTGCCTGGATACCTCAGGATTGTCTTCTCTAGTCTGCTTATGTAGAACTAGACTGATTGGCAGGAAAACCACAATGATAACCAACTGCTCACCGTTGGTTGTGAAAGTGGACCTAGAAAATATTTTCTCCGTAGGTATGCCGTTTGCGATAAGCCACTGAGAAGGAGGCTGATAAAATTTTCAACCGATGTGGCTGCCCAAACTCCTTGGGTTATTTTTACTGGCTCTATACTGTAGTGAAAGGTGCTCTGATAGCACCAGATCGATTGGAAGACTAGCCACAAAATTCAAAAGTGTTAGAGAAAATCGTGCTCTGGCTACACGTCTCCTGGTATAACGCCGGGTATATTGGCATTTAGAACGCCTTTTTTTTTAAGTACTAGTTTATTTTTGTAATTTGGGATGGAATTCGACTTAAGTTGCTTATTGATTGGCAAAGAGTATTGTCGGCAGCCGATATAGTCAGCTGCATAACTTAAAACTCTGTTCTTTATGCGCAGTGAACGACTACACGGAAAAAACTTTTGAACGTACAGAGCCCAGTGACGCATGCTAGAGAAGTTCAAATCGCTTTGAACTCCTACTGCACAGTGTACAGGCCGCTTTGACTCGAAGATCGAGTCACACGAGTTCAAAACAGCGTTCAACTGAGACTGCACAACCATGCGCACCGCGTAGCCTGTAGTTTGGGCTTGTAAAGTACGACATAGCATTGAACTGCAGAAGCTCGAGAGGGGGGGCTACGTGAGCCCGATGGTTGTGCTCTCACAGCACAATGTCCAGGCTCAGTGAGCTCAGTGCATCTCCGAGCTCTCTCTCACCGAATTTCGAGCTATCAGCAGACAACTTTTGGGCTTCAATGAGTACAGCCGTTCATTATATAGAACGCGTACAGGTAAATGAGTTAACATTAATATTTTATATACATACATGCCTGTGAATAATTTCATAAAACTGATTTAACCTTTATGTAACTCATTAATATAGTATAAAATTTTTAGGGTTAATTATAATATTTTGACCGTACAAACTAAGAACGGTCATTTTAAAAATGAGTAACACAATTTTTTCCAGTATCTGAGCTAAGTGAAAACGAACATAGTATATTACGTACTTATAGGTCATTTATCGCTCATTTATCGCTATTGTTATTAATTTTTTAAGATCAAAAATAAATGAAGACTTTATGAAAAATTTCAGCAAAATTGGTTGAGTACTTTTCATGGTTAGCGGTAATAGCATTTATTTAGACTTTGGTTTATGTATCATAAGCAATTAATTATTTACTTTCACAGTTGACTTTTTCCATGCGGTACCATTTGTAGGAGTTATCTTAACAAAAATAAGATTTATTTGTGCATTTCCTATACAGGAAATTCATAAATTCAAAGATCAAAATACATTTATAGTTGAGCAGAAAAAAAAAACTGAAACACGTAGGCTATAATCTTAGATTATAATGTAATTCGAAATTCGTATCTCAAGTAATTCAAGAAATATTGAAGGAAAAAATAAGAACGTTTTTTCATGCATTTAAAAAGGTATTTGATGAGCTTCTTCTGGATGCCGACTGGTCTATTAACGCGGGGATGTGGATGTGGTTATCGTGCAGCTCATTCTTTCAGCAATTTTTTCACTGTTATTGTCCTGTTCGGTTCGGAAGAAAAGCTGATCCTAATGGCGACTATATTCGGTAAGTGATAATTCTATCATTTCTACACGGCTATGTAACCATTAAAATTTTTTTTAAAGAGATAAAGGATGCGTAACAAGTTAAAAGTTATTTAACACTTTTTGTCAGATAATTTATTTAGTTTTAGTACGCAAATTTAATTTTCTAACTATTTATTAAACTTTTTGAGTTTATAACACTAATGACAGTTTCTTAACAAAAAGTCATCTGAGTGTGCCAAGTATTAAGGTGAGTCCGGACACCGTACTGACCCACTTAATGAGTAAAGCGAGCTACCTTACTGACTTGCAGTCGATAATTTCATTTTATAAAGTTGTCACAAAAAGCGCTACCATTAGTGTTAGCGGCGATTTAGGAAATACAATTTTATTGCGAATTATCACATGTGCTTTTTCACCACGCAATGCTCGTCTTTTTTTAAAACTGTTTCTATCGGGAAAAGTTTTTATGTAACCCCAGTGGTTTTAGGGCGGGTTTTTTAGTGGAATTTTGATGTGAACTTCAGAGTAATTCCAGGGTTTTCTTCTTGCCCTACAGGCCTTTGGGCCATCTTAAATGCGAAACAATGTTAGGGCTAAATGTAGGAATAAGTGAATCCGATGTGCCAGGCAGGGATCTCCAGCCTAACTGGCGAGGAGTGGACGTCCTGAAATATTGAGTCCTCTCCGAGAAAAGGCTACACAGTGGCAAGTGGACCCGATGCACCATCGGCGCAGATAATGTCAGCTTAACTAGCAAGGTTTTTCACTGGAGATACTCTCACTGTGTCCATATATTAGGTATGATACCAGTCAAGGGTTGGTAATGGGTGCGGCAATCCATTCCCACATATAGGTGGTAAGTGGGTGGCCCCGTTGACTAGGCCAGTAGACTGTTGTGGTAACTCGATAAAAAAAACGATACAGCATTTTTACAAACATTATCTTGCATATCATAAGCAGCAAATTTTTTTTATAATTTGCTGGCTAGTTTTTGGTAAATTAGGAAAGTTCAGCCATACGCACTTCACATTATTGTCATCATGATTTTCTACACGCTGAACCATCTAAAACATCAACGTTGGTAGTAATAATATAATTTTTGTTTATAACAAAAATTATCTCATGTAGAGAGCGTCCAGTATTCATAACGGACATTTCATGGAGTTCTTGGGTAACGGAACTTAACTGCTTAGTACTATGAGTTTCGTAGAATACATCTTTGGCAATGGAAATTACTTTATTTTCTGCTGCTTGAAAAACGGCATTGTTATAACTTGTAACATCATAATTAGTAAAAAACAATCTTTTTTCATTTAGGCATAATCATAATGTTTGGTAAAAAGTCGTAACTCAGTTAGCGTCAGTTCATCTTCATTAAGTATACTGCCATTTTCTGTTTTTGTAAGCAATGAAAAAAAAATCTCATTTAATTGTTACATAACTTTTGTCAGCTCATAAAATTGCAAAACACGCCGTGAAATTGGTCCTATTACGCATTGCTTCTGCTGTTTATAAATTTCTGGTACACGAACAGGTGGTAACTGACGTGAATCTTCAATCAAAATGATATTGAGTCCACTAAAATTATCATTAAATCTTCCAGTTATCTGCTTTAGCCTTAAATCGATTTATGCTAATAATTATATGTCAATCATGCTAACTTAATAAATAATTAATATTTTGACATATTTAAAAAGAGCTCTATCCTGTTACGCAATTTCAATCGATAATGAAAGTAATTTAGATAATGATATTTTTAGAGCAGTGTAAACTGCAGTACCATAAGTTACAACTGCCACTTTTACAGTTGATGCACAAGTAACGAAGGCATAACAGTAACCATATGCATACGAAAATCTGTTGTAAGCTTCCATAATTAATTTTATCACGAAAGTTGTACCACAACCAGTGGGCCCTGTGAAAAAAATTTGCAAAGGCGAGTTATTTGCGGACAGTAGCTGGGAAATGACATGAAGAAGTAAACTCTTTTGTTGTTCATTAGTTGATCGCATATATTTTTAAAACTGTTGATTATCTACAAGATTTTGTTTTTTTTTAGCAATCGCTCCTAATATGTTTCATGTTGCTAAGTAAAGATCAGCATTGACATCTGAGTTTGGATTTCTAAAGAGTTAATCGACAGGATTTTTATGCGGTAATCTATGGGGTAAATTATCAATTTCTTCCTCAACATTTTCTGCTTTTTTACACATTTGCCGACAAATTTCGATAGTTTCATTTATATCTAAATTAAAATCAAACTCTTTGCGTTAATGTAAAATGAAAGCCTCACTATCATTATAAATGGTAATAAATTCTAATTCTGCTAGAATATTTTTGTTTTCGTTTCTATATGCCATCTATGCACTGTAACTATTTCTAGCTTGTATTCATTCAGTTCTTTTTCTATAACGTAATTTCTGTATCTTATCACTCGTGGTATTGATCTTTCTGTATACTCTCCTTTCTTATTTTTATAGTAATTTCAAACAAACTGCGCTATTAAGACATCGTTTAATGAATCTGGTCTTTATTCGTATTTTTCAATTAATTTTCCCTCCCAACGTTAGTAGACTTATTATCCAGATCTTCTAACTCTTTTAATGTTTTTCTTATGCGTTAACGTTCTACGGTCCATACTGTAGGTATGTACGTAACTGCAATGAAACATTTTGACCTGAGCTTACGTAACAAATACCACCTGTTTCTGAAGTGCTAAATTTAACATTATTTATAATGTCAACCCAATTTGTCTTGTGATCTCAACAATGTCAAAATCAGGGAGTTCACTCATTTTTTCTGTAATTTGTCTATACAAATCACAAACATTTCTATTGGTTTTCTTAACATATTGAACTACGTATGCAGAGCAATAATGCTCATCTAGTAATATCTGAAAGTTTGAGCAAATTTTACTAAAAATTAATAGATTAAACTGAATATTACATATTTCTGACAGTGTACGTTTGCAAAAATCATTGGGTCAGCTTACACCAGCTCTTATAATGTCATACTAATCTTTGTCAGAAGCAATGTTGTTTTCCCGATAGAAAGTGTCAAAGTCTTGATACTCACTATTCTCTAAGTTTATCCTAATGCTTTTATAACTACGATTTATCCAGAGGTGTCAATATAACAGAAAGCATAAACGGTGCTTCAAGTTTGCATTTCTCTTTTTTTCTGTACCAATTTTCCTATAACAGGTGAATGCATGTGTGAACATCTGTAGTTTTATATTTTCCAATGCCTCAGTTATTGAAACTTAAACAAGTTGATGAATCAAATGGATTGCGTCAGTTTTATCTAAATCCATGATATCTAGGGGCACATTGTCTAGCCATAAGAGAAATTGTGCATGCGGACTTCCACAATGCTGAAATTTAATACGCTAGAAATACTCAATTACTTGATATCGACAAAATGGGCTATATACTTTAAACTGTAAGATCTGAAGTATAATATTTATTAGTTTATTAAAATAAATGACACAAGCAACAGCATCGTCATTGACGAATGAACTTTTTTTCATAAAAGTCAGTTGTAATAATATATCATCAATGATGTGTTCACCATTGTTTTTTAATTTATAAAGTAATTTTAGTAAACTTGACTGACTAAATTTATTAGCGCTAAGTGTTAAAAATGCTGTTAGTTTTCTTTTCTGTCGCGTTACAGCAAAAAGATCTTTTTCCGCCCTCGGGTGGTTTTGGGAGGCTGGTACTTCCTCGGGCAAAAAAGCAGTTTTCCGATACTCGTTCGAAAAGTCTCCTTGACGAACCTCGTTACGGACCTCGCCTTCAGCTCGTGCCGCAAACCTCTCAGCTCGCAAACAAAGACTTTTCAAACTCGTAGGAAAACTACTATTTTGCTTTGCGCCCAACAATAATTGAAGTTTGGTATTGATTTTAGAAAAGCTAGATTGCTGTCTATGCACGAATGTATGTATTCTTCAAATTGTATTTGTTCTCGAGTGATATAAGTGCTTTGACCCGCATGTTTAAATGTTACAGTTAAACAATCACGCACCCTCATTCTCATAATTTTCATGCAATTATATCATAAACGATAAAGTGTAACAGCAAGATGCGTTGGTCCCATCGTATTGGTTCGCTGGAGGCAATTTGAAATAGAGTTACAGAAACTCCATCTTTCAATGTTCTTAATTGTCCTAAATAAATGTCTGGAAAAGCAAGCTATTCAGCATGTTCATCAAAGAGTAAGCTAATGGGAACATTATTTTCTTGCGGTGCAATTTGTAAATACTTTTCGTCGTTCCACATTAATAAATGTTACGAAGCAGTAAGACTTTTCGTGATTAGGATCGCTTCACTTATCTCATCTAGATTGACATTATTTTGTAAAATGTTATCATTCCAAAAACTGTTATCAATTGTCTTACTAATATTTAAAGTAAAGTCGCTAAAACTGTTGTAATCAATAACTGCCAAAACTACTAAACCGATTTTGCTTAAATTTTGCATACTGAATCTTAATAATTTCGAGATAGTTTTCGCATAGCTTTTTCTTGAAAAAGTTAATAACAATATCCATAAACAAGCTTAAATTTTTTCTAAACTAAGCAAGCTTTACACTTTAGTTCAATAGGATCCAGTAAGTGGCGTTGAGATAAAACTAAAGCCACCCACTATCAAAGATAGTAAAGAGTGGTTATAACATGCCCCATAGAGTTGCCAATTGTCATAGTCGTTTATCGCCAGTACACCAAGCACAGAGTTGTTAGTCGTGCAGCTGGGCATCTCGGCTACTAATAACACTCTTTTTTCATTGGTAAGCAAAATAAATCGATTTTTACATGGATCGCCAAAATAACCGAGTGCCACGGTAAAATAGGAGGTCAGAACATTAACGTCTCCAGCGAAGCACCAGGAGACGTATCCAGCTAGAGCATAACCTGCTTCAACACTCCAGAGCTTTGTAGCCGTTCAACCATCCGATTGGGTGCCGTCAAAGAATTTTCTACTTCAAATGCTAGGTAGGAAAGACAGCCCTGAAGAGTAG